TTGGGTCCAGGCATCTCAGACTTCCGGGAAGATGGGGCTCACTGCCCCTCCTCCTCCACAGCCTGCCCATGGCCACAGTTTCTGCTCTGCTATCTGAACACCTCTCCAGTCTACCCACCACTCTCCACTAACACCCTCTCCACTGGAGCCCACCCCACACTCTGAATCCCTAACGGCTGCTGGGGTGATTGGTCAAAATCACAAATCTCACTCCTCATCCTCCTACTGAAAATGGGTGGTCAGCTTCACAAAGCCTTCAGAATGAGGTCGGCCTTCTTGAAAATGGAGCCCTGGGCCCTCCAACCACTCTCTCCTGATGCTCCTTGGCAGCTCGCCAACAGCCACATGTTCATGGCCTTTTCGTACATCGCCACTCCTTCAGACGCCTCCACTGAGCCCCCGGGTGTTTCGTTTCTTCTCTCTCTTTCCCACGCTTTAAATCCATGCAGGACCTACATGGTTGTTTTCAGTCTATTAATTTTCATTCATTCCTTCATTCATGTATTCAGTCAATCACCATACATTTATCTGGTCCCTTCATACCAGGAAAGAAAGGGGAGAAAAAACAGGCCTCATGTCGAGCATTGTATAGTCTAATGAAGACATCAAGACAAGCATAGAAACAAGCATAGAAAGGAGGCAAAAACCTAGTGCCATAAGCAAACTCTGAACAGATTCTGTAGGAGCTAGGAGAAGGCAGAAAATATGTTTAATTGGCAACATCAGGAAAAGTTTGATGAGGCAGGCATTTCACTCAATCATTCAGTACATATGCACTGAAGACGTGCTAAGTGCCAGGCACATAGGCATTTGGGATGGACCTAAAACAATGAACAGATTTTGACTAGGTGGGGGTCTAGGGGAGAAGCTTGGCAGGGAGGGGTAGAGAGGGAATACCAGGTGGGGTGACCAGTAGGAGCAGAATGAGCCCAACATCAGTTCTCTCCATCGGCTGACCACAGTGCCCTGGCTTTCCTGTCAGCAACTACTACTTCCCTGGACTACTATCCAAGTACTACTACTTCCCTAGAGTACTATCCAAGTACTACTACGCACTTGGATAAAACCGACCCCTGCCTCCAGCTCCAGGGACCAGCCCACATCAGCTTCAGTCAGCCAGCGTAGCTCGTCTTCCTGGTCAGAGTGACAGGTCCCAGGGTGGGCCTGTAAGCCAGGTGGGGCCGTGGGGCCAGACACACAAAGGGCAAAACAGAGGTAAAGGGAAACTATCTGAGTGGCTGGATCAAGACTTGCTGGATGTCCCTCTGTTGTTTAAGCTGGGTTTTTCTATAACCTGTCATCCAAAAAGTCCTAACAGATCCAGACAATTTATGGATAAGGCTGATTGATGAAGGCACAGAACTTCTGGTGGAAGTTTCCAGAGGCTGATTGTCTATAGCTGGAGTGGCCCAGGTGCTGACCTGGGCTGAGATTCCCAAGTTCCCCTCCTGTGAGGATGTTCATGCATACTGCTCCCTACCTTGTCTGAAGCGCCCCTAGACACCAGGAAGCCCAGGGCCTGGGCCCACAGCTCTTGTGTGGGAATCTGAAGGGGCAGCTGAGAGTAGGGCAAGGCAGGAGGAGCAGGGGTGAGGCGGTGGACAGAGACAGGGATAACCAGACTCCATGGACTGGTGTGGTGGGAGCAGTCCCAGGCTGAAGCAAACTTACAAAGGCTTTTTCTTTTTTTACTTTTTGTTTTGGTATAATTTCAGATTTACAGAGAGTTTCCAAATACTCTTCACGCAGCTTGCCCTAATGTGAAAAGCATTTCTCAGAACTGAGCCTCCACATTAGCACAACACGTTACCTAAGGGTTGTGTGGTATCTCCTCATGGTTAGACTGGGGCCCTGGGCTTTGGCAGGAACGTGAGGGTTGTGTGATATCTCCTCATGGTTAGACGGAGGCCCTCGGCTTTGGCAGGAACGTGACGTGACCGTGCTGCCTTCTTCTGGCTGAGACGCTGCCTACCAGGTTGTTCCATCTGAGTGAGTCTTTGAAGCTCTACTGTCCCGGGCAGGCAGAGTATCTACTTGCAGTATTTAGTGAGCAGAGGCTTTTAAATTAACCGCAGCCTTGCTTGAGGGAGCCCTCTGGCTCAGACTGCTGCTTCTTGGAGAGAAGTTCTCATGGAACTGGGCCACCCTACACGCTCACCATTCTTCAGAGCCACTTTGGTGCTGCAGAAGAGCTGACAAGAGACAGACCTGGAGAACTGGATCCAGCACCCTGCCCCCAGTATGGTGCAATAGGATGTTCAGTGAAGAAGTTGAGAGAGCCCCAGCCCACCCAAGATCCCCCTGCTGGGATTCCCCCAAATCCTACCTGATCATCAACCCCTCAGGAAGGTGGTCCTTCCCCACATGACCCCAAAGACTCCTTCCCTGACCCTCAGTCTTCTAAGAAGCTCTCAGCCTGTGGACCCATCCTCTCTATTCTGTTCGGTTTTCTGACTTCACTGTTCTCTCAGTTACTGTTATGGAGCCATCGTGCACAGCAGACATGCCCCTCCCAGTCAGAACCAAAGCTCCAGCCTGAGAGGGGGCTGTCTGGGGCAGGATGAGGTACTCCCCTGACACTATCCCTTTTAGGGTTTCCAGACCCAATTCAAACATGGGGGAGGAGGTCCCCCCCACACAGTAACAAGCAATTCTCAGACATCACCACGGTGTCTGAGAATTCAAGCTAATTCTGACACTGTTTATCCAGAGCCAACATCAAATCTCACAGGTTAGGGCTCAGTCCTATAAGACTGTTTTCCACCCCCGACTTCAGATGCCGGACGCAAGCCCCAGGCTCTTACCTATGCCTTTGACTGGCTATAAATCAGAGGTTCCCAGGACCTCCTTCTTAGGTTCTTTTAATTTGCTAGAGCAACTCACAGAACTCAGGAAACACGTTTACCAAAGTATTCAAGGGTGTGATAAAGGATATGAATCAACAGTCAGATGAAGAGATAGGTAGTGATTCAAAGTACAGTGAAGGGGCACGGAGCTTCCACCCCCTCTGCAGGGCACCACTCTTGAAGCCTCTCCATGTGTTTGCCAACCCAAAGCTCTCTGAAGCCAGTCCTTTGGGTTTTTATAGAGGCTTTAGTACATGGTCATATGGACCAAGTCATTGGCCATTGGCTAATTCAACCCCCAGCCCCTGCCCATCCCTGGAGGTTAGGGGTGGCGTGGGGGATGGGCAAAAGTTCCAACCCTCTGATCGATGACTGGTCCACCTGGCCGCAGGCCCTGCCCTAAGAGAACAGTGAAGTCCAAAAGTCCCCTTCATTAGTAACAAGACACCCACGTCACCTTTATGACTCTGCAGGAACTATGGATGAAGACCAAGTATGTCTGAGAACTTATATTTTGGTCATCTGAGTGACCAAATATATATTTCTCATGAATTATTATATCACAGGTACCAATAGGGGAGGGAGTCTGAAGTACACTCCTGCAGCCAGAGCTTTCCTCTAGCCTCTGGTGGCACTTGTCTACTTGAGTATCCTCCCTATCCATTTCTGTTCCACAACAACTCTCCAGCTAGAGGCTCACTGATAGCCCAAAGACTGCATTTCCTGTCTGCTAGCTCCCATAGAATCACAAATTCCCCTCAAAACCCATGTTGTCTAAGGAGCTGAGGTAGTCTGTCCGTGTCCCAGGCTGTGTAGTACAGACAGTTCCCTGTGAAAGCAGGTGGGGCTGGACCCACTCCAAAACCAACAAGCATTTGCTGAACACCCTGCATGCCAGGCACCGGTCTAAGCGAACAAGACAGACAAAGTCCTGCCCTCTTGACTACAGTCGACAAGGGGACAAGATTATAACCAACAGACATGTGAATAAGGGGCCAGGTGTTGACCACGCAGGCTATGAGCGTAGTGAGGAGGTGGTGTGGAGAGACCAGAAGAAATGAAGGGCATACCACGCAGCACCCTAACAAAGGAGTGAGTCCTTGTAACACCTAAGCCAACACCTCTCCCTCCCCATCTTCTAAGCAAGTCACACGTGCACAGTGTCCCACAGGCCCTGGGGTCCCTGGTGGGAAGGAATGCCCAGTTTCCAGGCTGCTCTCAGTGGGCCTTGCTTCCCTGGGTGGCCCTGGACACAGCTTCCCGCTGGGTGAGAGGGAGCCACACTGCCCCTCTGGCCCAGGTCCTCCAAGCCCTCACTACTGACAACAGCAAAGGGGAAGAGTGTGGGTCCTCCCCATTGAGGCACGACAGCTGGGAGGACCAGCTCGGGCTCTGGACAGAAGGCTCCACACAGACCTGAATACCCCTGAACACTGAGCAACACAGGTTAGAAGAGCGCAGGTCCACTTACACGTGGATTTTTGTTGGTAAGTACAGTACAGTACTACAAATGTAATTTTTCTTCCGTAACATTTTCTTTCCTTTCTCCAGCTTAATTTATTGTAAGCACATAGTACATAACACATAGGACATACACAATATGTGTTAATCGACTCTTTATATTATCAACAAGTAGGCTTTTAAGTAGTTCCGTTGTTGGGAAATCAGAAGTTATACACAGGCTTTTTTATTGCACTAGGGGTGGGCAACCCTAACGCTCACTTTGTTTAAGGGTCACCTGTATTTGGAAATAGTTGGCTAACCCATGTACCACAGAAAGGGAACATGTCAGCTTCCAGAAGCATCCAGGTGGTAAAGCCTCCTGGGCCGCAGCACCAACCCCACAGCCTACTGGAAGGGTGATGTGTGAGGGGCTCAGAGTTCCCCAGAAACAGAAGAAGCAAGCATCTCTCTCCTGTTACCTTTGAAGGCCTTTTCTTTGCCTTCACCATCACCATCACCATGTTTGTGACTCTCTGGATTGCCAGAAAAGCGTGGCACCGGATTAGATCTCTAGTAGCCAGATTCTTTAGGAAAAAGTTTTTTCTTTAAACAAATTAAGTTTATTAAAGAGTATGAAAAACAGCAAATGGTTCTGGACACAGGGTCTGTTGAGGCTGAAAGAAATATTTCCGCCGGAGAAAGATTTAGGGGTCTTCACAACAGAAAATAGAGCATAGCTAATATCTGCAAAAAAAGACTCTCATGCTCTGGTATTTCGAATGTTGGTAACTGTTCGGTTGAGTTGGGTTTTGCTTACTTGGTGTCATTCCTGCAAAGCTGTATGTCTCTGATCTGCTCATCCCCTGGAACTGAGACTGATGAGGAAAAAATCTAAGCATTTGCAAGTTCTTTTCTATCCATTCCTCAGCTTTACTGAGTTAGAAGACACAAAGGATAAGGAGATGGAAGCAGGAGGTAGTCTGTACACATTAACTTCTTACCCAACCAAGGCCCAAAGACAGTGGTTCATCAGCACCAATGTAGGGAGACCTCATTTCAGCCTCGAGGTTCCTTGGCCAGCAGAGAGGGCAGAAAGGGCTTTGTGTCACTCTGGTGGGTGATCCTGCCATACGTGTCCAGCCTGGCAGCTACTGGCAGGTGCCTCACTTACATGACATGACCAGATGCCCGAAGATCCAAGGCCAGGCTCCAAGCTCCCACTCCCAGTTGGCTACAGCCTGGCCTTCTGCATGAGGAGCTGTCACACAGCCAGTAAGGAAGTTCAGGGACAGTGGGTGCTGTAGAAAAGAGGCAAACACCCATCTTGGTGAAGTCAGGACTCTCTGCTCTTCTACTCTCATCAGAGGGGTTTTTTTAAATTTTTTTAAAGATTTTATTTATTTATTTGACAGAGAGAGAGTGAGCACAAGCAGTGGGGAGGGGCAGAGGGAGAGGAAGAAGCAGGCTTCCCGCCGAGCAGGGAGCCCGACACGGGGCTCGATCCCAGGACCCCGGGATCATGGCCTGAGCCGAAGGCAGACGCTTAACCAGCTGAGCCACCCAGGCGCCCCTCTCTTCAGAGGCTTTAAAAAGGTCTCTGGCCTGGGGCACCTGGCCGGCTCGGTTGGAAGAGTGTGTGTGACTCTTGATCTCAGGGTCGTGAGTTTGAGCCCATGATGGGTGTAGAGATTACTAAATAAAATAAATAAACGTAAGGCACAAATAAATAAACAGGTCTCTGGCCATTAAGGTCTTCTTTAAAGTATGGACTTTAGGCTGTACTTATACACAAATATCTTTTAAAGACTTCCTTAAGCATAAAGGATAACTGGAAACATAAGGACTTACTGCAAGAAGCGGGCTGGGGTGGAGGCTCTTGAGGAAAGTAGAGCTGCTGTGCCAGGACCAACTGGTGTCACCAGACGGTGAGCCTGAGCCCACCTCAGACTGACAGGCAGCTGGGGGGCAAAGCTGGGAGAGGAAGAGTGTGGATGGAGTAAGACACACAGGCAGAGGCTCCTCACTTAGGAGGCAATCAGTCAATTCTGATCATGGGTCATTAACTGAAAATAAGGCTAGGAAAAGAGGGAAGAAGAAAGCTAAGCAGCTGCTAATTCAGCAGTTTCCCACCTTAAAATGTTGAAAATAGCCAGATGAAGTAGAAGGCTCCCTTCCTTCAAAAACATAGTAGAAAACAGGGAAGTCTATTTTATCAATATACGTTGAAGAAGGCCGTCCGATGAAAAAAACAAACCCAGAAGCCACAAAGGAAAAGACTGGCAGATTTAACATTAAACATTTGAGACTTCCTTGTGTGAAAAGACCACATAAGTGAAGTTTAAAGAGTGGCAACTGGAATAAACTGTTTGCAAAGTATGTAAGAGATAAAGAATTAACATGCATAATAGATAAATTATTTATATTGGTAGGAAAAAGACAATTAATAGAAAAATGAACAAAGATGGGGTGCCTGGGTGGCTCAGCCATTAAGCGTCTGCCTTCGGCTCAGGTCATGATCCCAGAGTCCTGGGATCAAGCCCCACATCGGGCTCCCTGCTCCATGGGAAGCCTGCTTCTCCATCTCCCACTCCCCCTGCTTGTGTTCCCTCTCTCGCTGTGTCTCTCTCTGTCAAATAAATAAATAAAATTTTTAAAAAAAAAAAGAAAAGAAAAATGAACAAAGAAAATAAACAGGCAATTCATAGAAGACAGACAAAATACAAACACACACACAAGTGTGTGTGTGTGTATACACACACATTTTTTTCCAACTTCCCCCACAACTGACAACTGAGGGAAACAAACTGGAGAAATGTATATGCATTTTTACCATCGAGTCTTGTTGTTTGCAGTAATTATGTTCTATAAAGTCACCACAAACTCTGAATTAGTGAAGACTAAATCATTGTTCCCAGCAGAAATACCAGGGTCAGGTTCCTGTGACCCTCTGGTCACAATATTTTCAACAACCAATCAATATGTCACCCTGTCTTAGGTGCATTTCTATTCAAGACATCTTATTTAATATTTATTGTTGACTCGTGAACATTGAGCTCACAACCAGCAGACCTCTAACTCAGGCCTGGATGAACCATCTACACACGTATTTTCTCCACGAGGCTCATCACAGTCTTTTTGTACTTAGGATCGCTAGACAGCACTTCAGCACTAGGCTTGAGGGCCACTTTAAATGATCACCAATAAACGCACAATCACCAATAAAAAGCACAAAAATGTGAAAACGTGGCACTAACTAGGTGGCAAAAAGGATCCTTCTTTACAGCGAGAGCTGAAACAGGAAGGCAGAGTGTCACCTGGTTCCACCTCAGCTGGGAGCATGCACACGGCTGACTCACTTTCCCCAGCTCTGCTCTTGTCCCTTGCGACCACGGGGTTACAAAGAAGTCTTAGCAAGCAAGCAAATGCACAAATACAGCATCAGTGAGTAATGAGAATTGCCTGTACTCATGAGTATGTGTACACGTAGTCTCTTTGCGTGTAAATATGAATTTGTACACAAATGCAGGCTTCACTGGTTTTTAGTGTATTGCTCTACACTGGTGTTTGTTCCAAACACTGGGACAGAGTTGCTGCCTCCAAACGGTTTAATCTAATGGGAGAAACTGATTATCCTCAAGTGGTATGAACAAATAATTGCAGATGGTGCTAATTACTAGGAACACAATAATCAGTTTGCTGTGAAAAAGAATACTCAGACAGGGTAGCTGAGAGAGATAGAAGCTGATACCTGCGGAGCTGAGGGACGCTTTTCTAACAGCATGAATACATCCCATCTCAGAAGGGAGACAAGCCTGGGAAGCTAGGAGCCTGGAGATATGGGGTGGCCTGAGAGCTACAGACCCAGCATGCAGTTAGTTCTGGAGAGAATAAGGCTGTATGTGAGTGGTTAGTAGAATTTTGACTCATCATATAATCATGGACTCCTTTTCGGTGAAAAGATATCTCCATGCAGTGTAATATAACATAAAAGCCAAGTATTTCCAGCTTTCTTCAAGAGTAGCCTTCTGATCCCTGAGAATCATCCACAGCTAGAAGATGGAGAAAAAAGGGGAAGGTACACAGGAGCAGCTAGTGAAACAGGAGAAACACAAGGGAATATGGCATCACCAAAGCTAAGACCAGAGGTTGCTTCAAAACAGAAGGCAGTGGTCAAGCAAGAGATTTCTTCATTAGATTTTGCCCAAGTAGATCAAAAGTGCCCTGACGAAAACACTTCAGGGGTTAGAGGCAAGAAAGAAGGAACAGGAAAGGAAGAAGTGGGACCAGCATTTATAGAAAATGTGTTTGGGAAATTTGACTATAAAGAGGATTAGTGTAAGGAAATAGTAGCTGGAAGGGAATTGGGGGCAAGAGAGGTTCTCTTGTTTCCTTGTGATGGGATATACAAGAGCACATTAGTTTACTGGTAAGAATGATCAAGTGCTGGGGCGCCTGGGTGGCTCAGTCGTTAAGCATCTGCCTTCGGCTCAGGTCATGATACCAGGGTCCTGGAATTGAGCCCTGCATCGAGCCCCGCATCGGGCTCCCTGCTCAGCGGGAAGCCTGCTTCTCCCTCTCCCACTCCCCCTGCTTGTGTTTCCTCTCTCGCTGTGTCTCTCTCTGTCAAATAAATAAAATCTTAAAAAAAAAAAAAAAGAATGATCAAGTGCTAATGAAAGATCAATTGTACATGACAGAAAAGGGAATAATGGAAGGAAAGACATCCTAGACAATGTGAGAGGGAATGGGATCAAAAACTTCTGTAAAAGGATTGATCTTTGTTAGGAGGAAAGACACTTCTCCAGTTATATTAGGATGGCATAAAGAGTGACAGGTGTAGATAGGGTTATAGATTTGGGAGTAGGAATATGAAGGAAGTCTACTGTGATCTTATAATATTTTTTCAATCATGAGTGAGGCCATCAAGGCAATACTCAACTGGAAGATGAAGTTGGAAATACAGGCAGGGGTCATATTATACAGGACCCCATATGTCATGCCAACGATTGTTCTAGATGCTAGGGAGCTTTTTAAAAACTAATGAAGATGCAATAATAAGAAAATAAACAATTTATTATAAAAATAAGCAAAAGATTTTCAACATTATTAGTCATTAGTAAAATGCAAATTAAAACTACAATGTGATACCACTACACACTTAGCAGAATGGCTTAAAAAAAAATAGTGTGACAATATCATATGTTGGTGAGATACTGAAACAACAAGGATTTTTTCTACCACTGACAGAGATGTTAGAATCATCTGACAATGATTTTTAAATCATCATAAAAATGCTTCAGCAAGCAATATAAATGCACTAAAAATAAATGGAAAAAATACAAAATCTCAGCAAAAAAATAGAAGATATAAGAAGAATCAAATGGAAATTTTAGAACTGAAAAAATACATTAAAGAAATAAAAAATTCAACGGATGGATCCAAGGGCAGAATGGAGGGGATAAAAGAAAGAATCACTGAACAAGAATATAGAAAAATAGAAATTATCCAATCGTGGCACCTGGGTGGCTCAGTCGTTAAGCATCTGCCTTTGGCTCAGGTCATGATCCCAGGATCCTGGGATCAAGCCCCACATCGGGCTCCCTGCTCCACGGGAAGCCTGCTTCTCCCTCTCCCACTCACCGTGCTTGTGTTCCCTCTCTCGCTGTCTCTCTCTCTCTCCCTGTCAAAATAAATAAATAAAATCTTTAAAAAAAAAAAAAAAAAAGGAAATTATCCAATCTGAACAACAGAAAGAAAATAAGTTTTTTTTTAAAAAACAACAACAACAACAACAACAGAGCCTCAGGGACCTGTAGGACCATAGTCAAAGATCTAACATTCATATCATTGGAGTGTCAAAGAGAGAGAAGAAAGAGGGTGGGACATAAAGTACTAAATGATGATGATGATGATGATGATGATGGTTGTTTCCCAAATTTAGCAAAAGATATGTAAATCTATAGATTCAAAAAGTTAAGTGAACCCCAGACAGGATTACCCCAAAGAAATACACATCAGGACACACCATAACTCAACTTCTGAAAATTAAAGAATAGGAAAAAATGTTGAAAGCAGCAAGAGAAATGACACCTTACCTATAGGGGAAAACATTTCAAATGACAGTAGATTTCTCATCAGAAATCAAGAAAGCAACACATTTTTCAAGTTCTGAAAGAAAAGAACTATCAACCAAGAATCACATATCCAGAGAAAATATGAAGGGGAAATAAAGACATGCTCAGATGAAGGACCATTAAGAGAATTTGTTGCCAGCTGACCTATCCTAAATTAATGGCTAAGGGAAGTTCTCTAAACAGATAGGAATGAAGAAAAGAAGGAATCTTGGATCGTTATATAAATAATGTAATAAGTAGAAACACTATATAAAGAGACACAATTTAAAAAATTTATATAGACTAATCAAAATGGAATTGTAAAAAAAATGGTAATCTACAAAAAGTTAAGAAAAAAAAGCAAAGAGACAAAACACAGAGAGAACAAACAGAAAATAAAAAATAAGCCGGCAACTTAAACCCTAACATCAACAATTTAATTACTTATAAATGGTCTAAACACTCCAATTAAAAGAAAGATTGGTAGAGAGGATTAAAATGCATAACCTCACATTATGCTGTTTATAAGTACTTCAAATATAATGAAATAGGCAGAAAGTAGAAAAGTTGAAATATATATATTGTGCAAATAGTAATCAAAGGAAAGCAGAAGTGGTTATATTACTATCAAATAAAGTAGACTTCAGAGCAAAGAAATTACCAGAGCCCAAATAAGTCATATATATATAATGATAAAAGGGCCAGTCCACCAAGAAGACATAGCAATCCTAAACTGGTATGTACCAAACAACAAAGCTTCAAACTATATGATGCAAAACTTTTAGAACTGAAAGGAGAAACAGACAAATCAACTATTACAGTTGGAGTTGAGAACATCCCTCTCTCAACAACTGAAAACCAGCCAAGAAGGTTTAATCAATATTTATACAACAGTCCCACCAACAACAAGAGAATACATGTTCTTTTCAAGTGCCCATGGAAGATATACCAAGATATCTGGGAGGGAAAAAAGAAAGAAAAGACCTCAAGAAATTTAACAGATTTAGTTAGAAGCATACACATAAATATGGTATGCTGTACATCATTTTTATTTAGATCAATGTATTTGGTTTATTTTCCTTATGGCTTCATCTTTGAGATTTTCCTGTTATTTTTCTTTTTTCTGTTATTGATTTCTAGTTTGAGTCTACTGTGTTTGGAGAACACGTTCTGTATGTCTCAAATCAATCATCTAAGCTCCCATTTCAAGAACCTAGAAAAGAATAAAATAAACACAAAGCAAGCAGGAAGAAGAAAATAATAAAGAGCAGAAATCAATGAAATTTAAAACACTAGGAAAAAAACCATTAAGACAGAAACTTATTCTTTGAAAAGATCAATAAAATTGTCAAACCTTTAGCAAAACAGAGAGAGACACACAAATTACCAATATCAGGAATGAAACAGGCAATGTCACTAAAGACATCAGACATCACATAGATCAAAAGTAACACTATGGACAACTCTACACACATAAATTTGACAATTTAGATGAAATAGACCAATTCTTAAAAAACACAACCTCCCACAACCCATTCAATATGAAATCAATCATTTGAATAGCCCCATAACTCTTTTTTTTAGATTTTATTATTATGTTCAGATAGCCAACATATAGTACATCATTAGTTTTTGATGTAGTGTTCAATGATTCATTAGTTGCATAACGATTAGCTCTATAACTCTTAACTTTGAATTCATAATTTAAAAACTCCCAAAGAAATCCCCAGGCCCAGATGGTTTCACTGGATAATTCTACCAAATGTTTAAAGAAGAGCTAACACCAAATCTGTTCAATATCTTTCAGAGAATAGAAGAGGAGGGAACACTTCCCAATTAATTTTATGAATCTAGTATTTCCCTTATTCAAAAGCAGATAAAGACAGTACTCAAAAAATGAAAATCATAAACAAATATCCCTCATGAATATAGGTGCAAAAAGCCTTAACAAAATATTAACAAATAGAATTCAGCAATACATGAAAAGAATTATACACCATGACCAAGTGAGGTTTATTCCAGAAATGTAAGGCTGGTTCAATACTAAAAAATTAATAATTTAAAAATATAATTTAAATTATATCAATTATATCAAATTATATCATTTTTAATTTGAAATAATTCACCAAATTAACAGGTTCAGAAGAAAAGTCATACTCTCATATCAAATGATGTGGAAAAGCATTTGAAAAAATCCAACACCCATTCATGATTAAAAGGTCTCAGAAAAATAAGAATAGAGGGGTCTTCCTCAACTTTAAAGAACATCTACAAAAAAACCTATAGCTAACCTACTTCATGGTGAAAGACTAAATGCTTTCCCTCTAAGATTGGAAATAAGGCAAGAATGTTTGTTCTCACTACTCTTACTCTACACAGTACTGGAAGTTCTAGCCAGTGCAATAAACCCAGAAAAGGAAATAAAAGGTATACAGGTTGAAAAGGAAGAAATAAAACTATCTGTACTTACAGACAACATGACTGTTTACATAGAAAGTATCAAGGAACCTGTAAAAAGAAACACCTAAAACTAATATGGGAATTCAGGAAGGTTGCAGGATACAAGACAAATACACAGAAACCAATAATAAGTTCTATATACCAGATATGAATACTTGGACACCAAAAGTAAAAATACAGTACCATTTGCAATCACTTAAAAAAATTAAATACTTAGGTGTATGATTCCATTTATATGATATTGTGGAAAAGGTGAAATTAAAGGAATGGAAAATAGATCCATGGTTGAGGGAGAGGTCGCAGGGGATTTTTGTGAGGAGAAGCAACTCTTCTGTATCTGGATTGTGGTGGTGGTTGTTACTAAGTGTATGCATTTGTCAAAACACATACAAGTGCACATAAAAGAGTTAATTCTATTGTATGTAAATATTTTAAAGTGAGTAAAAACAAGAGCCACGAAGAATTTCAAGGAGGGAAATGGTAGGTCAGATTTGCATTTAAGCAAGAACACACCTGTTGCCCTGTGGGGAGCAGAAGGGGTGAGGCAAAGATGTGAAGGCCAGGAGATTGGTGAGGAGATTACTGGAGTCATCCAGGTTCAAGACAAGCAGGGTCTGCACTAGAACTAAAGTAGCAGTGGAGACAAGGAAGAGAAAATTGTTCCCATAACTCCTCGGACCATTGTAGGCCTGGGAATAGAAAGATGGATTCCAAGAAAGTGGATTTTTTTTTGTAGGGGTGTGTGTGCATGTGTGTGCGTGCGTGTGCGTGTGTGTGTGTGTGTGAGAGAGAAGCCTCTCATCTAGCAAACCAGTATGCAAAATGGTAACTTACACATGGTGGGTAAAACTGGAGAAGACATGGGGCTCCTGGGTGGTTCAGTTAGGGGTCCGACCCTTGGTTTCAGCCCAGGTCATGATTTCAGGGTTGTGAGATCGAGACCTGTAGGCTCTGTGCTGAGCGTGGATTCTTTCCCCTCCCTCTCTCTCCCCCTGCTTATGCTCACACTCCCCACCTCCTTTCTCAAATAAATAAATAAATGAAATCTTTAAAAAAAACAAAACGAAAAAGCCATATGCTTGGGAAAACTGATTTCATGAGATACTGAAGGATAAGGACCCACAACTAGGATTTTATCATTTTAGTTCAAATACAAGATTATTAAACACCAATTAAAAATGAAGTTTTGGGGTCTAAAAACAGTCACCATATCATACTGGATCATTTACTCCATTTTACACATATGGAATTTTAACTGCTAAACAGAGGCAGAAGGTTGAGAGGAGCTGTTCCCAAATCTCAAGACTGTAGGCAACAAAGTGACCCCAAGGGACCTTAGGGAGTGGCCAGGGGCTGGAGGCCAGCTCAGAGAAAGCCAACAGGGGCGCACGCCTGCTGGAGGGGGGACGCTGATTCAGGAAGGGTACTGGTCAGCTGCAAAGCCCTGTATCCTAACCTTCTGTAGCAGCTGCTGCTCCCTAAGCTCAGAAACAAATGCTTAATTTGGAGATCAAGCTTCTGCTGGGATGGGAGGAGATGCTAGCTCAGTAGTTCCTCAAACTTTCTACACCAAGAATTCTTTTTATCTTTTCCACCCCACCCCCACTGATCCACACAGTGTTGGGTAGGGTTTTCCTACAGAACTGGATTTAGTAACAATGAATTCTTCAAGAATCAAAGACATTTATAGTTGCCAGCCAAAGCTTTATCCAAGAAACCACTAAATTGATGTGATTAACTGGTTCAACAGTATTTATTAAGCAATAATGGTGGACATGGATCTAGAGCCAGGAGTGCAAAGCAGGTGAGGTCCTTGCCCTCTGGGCTGATGGTGGACAACACATGCAGGGTCACCATCTGCAGAGCATCTGCACAAGAGGAGAGAGGCAAGTGAATTAGGAGGTGGGGAGGGGTCAGAGGTGGCTGCCCTGAGCCACAACTTGAGGGATTTGAAGGGTACATAAGAGTTTCCAGGCAGGTTGGGGTGGGGAGGGCTGTAGTCCCCTCTGGAGGGCAGGAATACTATTGAGGTCCTAATCATAATAAATGTAATTCCCCGAGTATGTACTACCATGTGTCAGGCCCCGGGCCGAGCACTTACACACATTAG